CCCACACCCTTGTTTCCGGCCCGATTTGGCTCCTTTGATCTTTCTTTTACCCCGATGTGCTCATTTCCGAGTATATAAAGGTATAATCGATAAAACCTAATTTATTGGCTTAGACTTAATATTATAAATGAGATTAGTGAAAAACAATATGTGATTTGAGCGATTTTGACAAAAACGGGACATACGAGCTTAAAGCCGTTTTTGGGACCCATTAAATATATGTGATAAAATATGGAAATAAATAATATAAAATTCATTACGTCATTTTGAGGCGTAGGATTAAATTTCATAATTTTCGGACTTGGTTTGGTAGGTAAACGAGTCGGTCAAAGTTGTTGACCGGTCGTAGTAAATTCTAGTTGACTAAGTTAGGAGATGACTTTTGACTTGAGATTTTGACCATGGACTATATATAATTAGGACGTTATGTTTCGATTTTCGTAATTTTTGGATGTTGTTTGACTTAGTTATAAAAATCGAGACTTTAGATATTAATGCCGTAAAAATAAAATATTAGTTTGATTGAGATTTTAGCTGCGGTTGTGAATTATAGATTTATTATAAATCACATAGAATATGTATATTAATTATCGGCCTTAATTGAGTTAGAATTTTCTGGAATCAAAACCCTAGTTTTATCCGGTTTCGATAACCGGGTATTTTTCCGGATCCGTTTATAATTGATTGAACCCTAGTACCGTCTTGATAATTATTAGCCGTCTTATCGTCAATTTGTAATGCGTACCGTCGTCTCGTGCCGTGACCGCCTCTCGTTCGACCGTTGGAGCTGAACCGCCGAGTGCGTGCCCGTGCACCGAGTCCGAGTCAACCCCGAGTGCGTGCCCGTGCACCGAGTCCATTCGACTCGCCGTCTACACGTCGTTCTGTTAGTCGTGGTCCAAGCACGCCCCTGCGTCAGTGACTGTGGCACCGATCAACTCGTGCATCGGCTAAGCCGTGTCAGTCGAGTTCGTGCTGGCCCGAGTCGCCACGCCGAACTCGGACCACGGTCAAACCGAGTTGCACATAGTCAAGCGAATGACCGACCGACTCCGAGTGAGCCGTCGGTCCAGTCCAGTCGAACTGGTCCGGATAGCCGCACTGTTCGATATATATTTCAGATAATATGTCAGATAAATTTCAGATGCTGTCAGATTAAGATTTCAGA